TAAAGCATTATTTTCTACTAATTCAACGGGCCATCGTCAATTATTCCTTATTTAATTAATAGTTTCCCATTGTTAACGGTAACAGCACTGATATAGTGTGTCCTCACTTTCAGTGAGTACATCTCAAAGCTTTTTAAAGAAATCCAATCAAAGAAGCACAGACATGATCGTCACGATTTCGTTGCTTGAGTATGATATATCAGTATGACATATTATTGCACATAGAAATATTATCAACAAACTGTTGTTGGCAGAAGAGAATAATCTTGCATCAGAATATGTAAAGAATAACTGGATGAAAGATGAACATGATATTGTGCTTGATTAGACCTGATGGCTGTGATGTAATGCATGTTATTATCTAACAAATGCTTTTGGTAAGAGCCAAAGCAGGTCTTGGATCAGCCAAAACGTTCAGCCTTTCAACCCTGGTGCAGATTACTGACCCGCTGCCATGATTTTATGCCATTATAAAATCGTTGCCATGATCAACAACCATCTATTTAATTTGTGATTATTCCACATCACAAGGTCTTAATCAAGTCACAATCAAGTTACTGATTTGTGGGATGAATAAAACGTGATAAGAGTCCTGTGATAAAGGCCCAGTGTGTCACTCATTATATCACATGATGGAAGAGTCACACCATGTTACTGAATTGACTAAATATAGTCTCACGAGACACCTGAGGACGTCACAGAAATGCCCGCTCAGCATAGTCTATATTTTGTCTTCTGTGTCCTTGTCCCAATCACATATGGTGAGTCTTCCCATAATTCACTGGCTGCTGCAAAGCATTTAACATTACAGCTATACGGTTAGAGTCATTTCTAACTAGATTTTTAATTAATTAGTGTGGTGTTTATCTGTATAAAACAGGTTGCCATGATGCAAGGATGTTATGAATGGTTGCCAGGGTGTTGTTATTTGGTTGCTAAGGTGTTCTGGATGGTTGCTAGGGTGTTCACTACCTCCTCAAATATGATTTTCTGGAAGCACTTTACAATTATTAACTACATTAGTTAACATGAGCTAACAATAAATAATATTTTCCTAATCTTAATGTAAATTTCAACAATTACTAAGACATTTTAAGTATAGTATCATTGATAGACTTTTTGTGTTAATATTGGGCATTTTATTTTATTTTTTACATTTTATAACATTTTTGAATTATATATATATTTTAAATTTTCATTTAAAAGTTGTGTGT